CTCTTCCATACGCTAATGCGGTCTGAGACACTTAGTACCGGTAGCCTTCATATATATATATATTTGTATTATTATTATATATTGTATATTCAGTTCCATTTTTATTTAAAGATCGTTGACTATATCCCTATCGAATCTCGATCCTCAGTTTTGTTACAATATCAAAACCTAAAAAAAAATAATATCAATATAAAAATAAAAATATGAAATTGAATGCTTGTCATATAAAAATACGAGTATAGAAATTAAGATTTGTGTAACAGTGTCACGGTCGTGGCTTACGAGTTAAGTAGAGGAACCGCGACAGCTGATCGGCGACAATACGCGAAGACGTCCCGCGGCCTTTGTCCTCGGCGGCCCCGCGACTGCGCCCCACTGAGACCATCTCAGTGCGCACCTGGCCACCGACCCTAAGCTATCTAACTCGATATTTAGCTCCATATTGACAACGCTTTTAACCAACTGCACACTTCGAAAGTCGATCTTACACCCAAGGGTTTTGTCAAGATTTCACTTAGTACTTTACATAACCTAAAGTAACGGAGGGTGAACCTATTTAATTTTCGTTAGGGGTTAAAGTTCAATGGAGTTTGCATTTCTCGATAAAATCTCAAAACGCATACAGTAAATCTTTTAATATTTGCACATTTTAATTGAATGAGGTGGCAAACTTTCTGGGAAATTTTCTACTGCAGTATTGTTGTTTTTGTTCTAAATATCTGTAGTGCTTCAATCTGAATGAAGACATAAAAGTCTTGACGAGGGATGTGTCGTATTAAATTACGACCGGTTTCACATTAGCGGGGACAATCATTTGCTATTTGCAACCCTTGCACTTTGGCTATCTATTTTGAATATGTTTGGGGTGTGAGGCAGGTTTGTCAAACGGAACTTAACGGTTCCTGTTGTCTGTTTGTATGTTGTGTTAGCTAAGTTTGTTACGGCAATTAGAAATGGGGGTATTGTCTATCACTCGAGTTGTCGGTGGTCTGTGGCAGATGTCGGCGTTAACTGTCGGCCAAGGAGAGTTTGTTACGACAATTAGATGTGTAAGACACGGGGGTGTTGTCTAAGGTGGTGGGTGTGCGCGTGTCAGCGACAGATGTCGGCCTTAACTGTCGGCCAACCTGTCGTCAACCGCTCGCGCCGCTCCGATGCCCGCTCAGCTACAGATTATGCCCGATATCGCCTGTTCCGTCCTGTTATGTGATTTTTAATGAGCCGTTCACCATTAACATTATTTCGTTTTATTGTTTTTTTTTTAATTTTAATAATAATTTATATGTATTATAACATATCTGTGGAAGCTACTTTAATTACTTTGACTCTGCGTGACTCTTGTAACATTTAAACATTAGTAATTTAAAATGCACCTTGTAATGAAGTTAAATGTTGTTAACCTAATGAATAATATAACGCTTTCATTTAACGATTATCCTTTAACGACTTTGGTTGAACTCAGCTTGTTAACTAAGCATATTTTCTATTTAAAAACATTGAAGCGTTCGCGTGTAGCAAGTTGTTTTTTCATAACATATTCATAGCGTGAAGAAGGTAAGGGCATACGTAAGGGCGTACGTAAGGAAGGGCGTAGGTGGGCAGTGACCCTCCGGCGCGCGTAAGGGTCGCGTTCACTCTGCCAGGTGCCGCCACATCTGCCGTCTTGGGCCGGGCACCCAACGCCAAGACGATTCGCTTCACTACGCCCACCGTTACCCGAGTGTACTGCACTGACCATTGGCCATTGCCCACTGAGGCTTTAATTGTCTTCGCAGAAACCCAGCATAGTGGTTCCTTGTTTACGTCTTGCAGTAAACATTATTCATTTTTAAAATATAAGGCAATTAGACAAATAAGGTGTAAAAGTACTGGTTTATATTACAATTCTCTTTGATCATAGACAAAAATATGTATAACGGACATATTCACTTCTATCTTGTAGATTTGATAAACAAAAGCTTAACGTTACCCTAAGAAGGTTACAAAGTAAGTCAGTACAATAAAACTAATGCAATTCCGCGTGCTATTTATCGATCAGTTAAAATGGCCGCAAATACCTATAAAATTATAACATCGGCGCGGCGAGTCGCGAAATCTGAACAGCTGCGATTTGGCAGAAAGACTTAAGATGTAAATTACCATTATTCCGACGCTATTGTTCGGATGTATTATAGGAACGTACAAAGATGCAGACGGGGACAGCGGCGCGGAGCGGCACAAACCTGGCAGCTGCCGGCTCCTTCCTTATTCTTATAACAATGAACCACTCGCATTGTGCAAAATGCTACGCGACATTTACACACCGTTCCTTCCCAGCGTTAACTTTCCGATTTTAGGTTCATAAATCCTTGCGCTATACAAATATCGTTCTGTCTTATTCCTTTCTTTGTCAACAATAGTATCGTTCACAATTATCTATGGTTCTTTCTGACCACACTGTTTTTTTCATTTGTTTTTTGTTTTGTAATAGCACTTAAATAGCACGGCATAGTTGTTAATATCACCTTTTATAAATACAATGTCATTAATCGTAGTATGAACATGGATATAAAATCTTGTCAGATTGGTTTTAGTTTTGTCGCGTCCTTTTTTTAAACGCGTGGTGTGTTGGGAGTAAACACTAATAAATGTTTGTCCGGTCGCGATATAGTCGCAAGGCCGCTGAGAGCCGCTAGGAGCCGTCGGGATGCAAGGTGCTTCGCCCACCTGTCCGTTATAATTATATCTGGCAACAGATGCGACTTACCTGCGTCCGCGATGCGCTTGCCCCGACTGAGTGCATTCGACTTGTTATAATGCAAACATTATTTTAAGCTTTTGACATTCTTGACTTGTTTACAATTATGTTTTTATTTCATCTGCTTCATTACATTCAATATCAAGTTTTAAATAGAATACCTGTTTATATACAAACTGATTGTCGATTTTTAAAACGTGTTATAAAATTGAAGAAAAATACATTTTGAGACGGCTTTAAAATTGGAAATCCATTCTATCATCCAGATATTTATAGTATAACTATTAAAGAAGTATTTTAGTGTTGAAAGCTCATAGCTATACCATTGTGGTGTATATGCGATATGAGGTTTGTAAAGTCCAAATTAATGCTCTGTCAAAGAAGTAATCTATTGAGTTATTAAAGTTATTTCTTATCTTTGTCAACAGAAACGGAGTTCCTCTTGGTGCCGCCATCTCTGATCGCTGCCGCCTGCATAACAGCTGCGGCGCGGGGTCTGCGCGTGCGCATGTCAGTGAACGAGCTGTGTGCGATGACGCGCGCGCCCGCCGCCGCCGCTGAACTGGTCGCCAGGCATGTGGAGCGGGTTCTGGCACGAGAGACCCAACCTCAGGAACCCAGGACGAGACATCTGCAACCTATCAAAGTGACAACGCCGGAACAAACACAACTGCCCGATACACCTACAGATGTACAAGATGTACATTTTTGATTTGGTCTGCTATTGCTTGTTATTGTGGTTATTAGTACTCGATAGTTCATTTGGAAATTGCTCAATGACATCAATTTAAGCTTTTGAGCATTCTCTTCTTCACACAAAATCTCTCCGCTGGAACAATGCTCTAAAGTGAGTCTTAGCTTTCTGACAAAAGATTCATCGTTGATTCGTTTTGTAAATGATTTTGTAAATTTATTTGATATTTTCATTGTAATTGTTCGTCCATTGAAAGATAATTTAAGTGAGTTTTGTTATTATTCATCAATAACTAATCAACGATTGAAAAAGATATTTTTCAAATGTCAAGAAGAAATTATAAACAAAAAAATTATGTAAGTAAGGAAATATTGAAATTTCTGTTAAAATAAGAAATATTAATGTCACAAATTCCATACATTCCATGTATTACAAATTTTATAAAGCTCATTGTAGGTTATTGTTGTTTTGATATTGACTTTAGACCCACGTGGAGTGAATTGATCTCATCGGTAAACAAATGGATCCCCGCTTACATTGTCAGCGGTCATGTTTTTTGTCCGCACACCTGGTTCGTTCAGAAAAACAAATCTGGAGAAATATTTTTTTTTGCTACGTTTCCTCTTAAACGGCTATAGTAAAATTGTACAATGATCTCAAATTATTTATGTAAAATATCATCTTAAGTTAGGTTAACTTTATTTATTGATTGTGTATCTGTTAATAGCTTAACTTTAGCTTAATTCTGATCAGGTCATTCCTGTTTATTTGATCTCCGTGAATTCCAAAAAAAAAAACAATATTATTTTAAGCTTCAATTGATTTACCGTTAATCATTGCATAAACATTTACATTGCAAAAGTTGCTAAATGAATTCGATTTGTATTATGTTGAAAAACATAAGTTTTGCAGGAATAATATATCAGTAAATTTCATTTTACATGTATATGAGAAATGTAAAATAAGTGATTCTCACCGAATATTTATAATAGCGAATATGGATTGACTGTAGTTTTGTATTGTCAAATTAACTTAATTACACATTTTAATTAAGTGTAATCACAATGTGTGGTGTTTAGGAGTGTTTAGTAAATTTATTCGTAAGATCTCACTGTGTTGCAAGTTCGAAATGAATTGTACCGTACAATCGAAAATGTATTTACCTTTAAGGAACTTCATGTAAAACTGTTGAGATGTTAATATTTATTTAGGTCGATGTTATGTTTTAGTAAATTCTAGTCACATGTTTACACATTCCTGTTTTCGACCAAACTTTAGTTTAAGTTTAGTTAATTAGAGTTGTACTTAGCTAAGTTAAGGTAGTGTATTTGATTTGTATTTTGTCCTAAAGAGTGTTTACTATATTCTAAACGATTTTTTTCTTTATGTACTATTTAAATAAAGGACAGAATATACATCAAGATTATGCTTTTTATAGCGTAAGCGTATTTGTAGTAGTCGTAGGGCACAGAAGTGCTTCGAGCAAAGTATCGATGCGCATCGAAAGCCGTTACGGACGATAATTAAAACAATTAATGGACGAGCTTTTTGACTTTCACTATAAATTCTTTTACTGAATATAATTACCTATGAACTTTATATATTTCATTAATAACTGTAATTATTTTTCCTAACGACTGTACAAGTGTTGTCGAGTTGATTATTTCGGTAACAGAACTTATGAGAACAAACCATGTATGTACTTAGATTTTTAAATTAAATATGCGTAGAAAAGAACTCTTAGAAATAATTTGGACTTAGTCGAATCGTTTAGTGATTTGATAAATGTAATTAGCTTTATACTTTGTAATAGATTTATGGATGATAAGTCAAAAAGTTGTAAAATTTCAAGAAATCCTGTTTAATTTTTTTTTCATACCTTTTATTCGATTTATTTATTTATGCTCGTCCATCAATTGTTTTTGTGTTGTTTTGTTCCATCGAGTTATTGTAAAACAAATAAAACATCTTTGTTTATTTTATGTTAGCCGTTAAGACTAATATATTCTATCACTTAGGTTGAATTTAATGTACAACTCTTATTGGTATTTTGTAAAAATGAAAAAATCAAAATAAAAAAATTAAATCAGCACAAAGTTTGTCTTTTTATTACATTGTGGCTATTTGATTACGATTTTCTAGTTTAATTTTTTTTAAAGTCCAGGTTAGCATAGAGTTTTCTTTTGACACGTTGAAAGTAAAATGATTTCCTAATGTAACTAAGGGTTTAAGAAACGATTATGACTTAAGGATTAATATAGAAATTATACAACATTGAAACGAGATGTTTTTCTATACCTACTTAAAGATTTCAACGCAACAACTGTAGATAATACTAAAATATCCATGAGATCATCATACTTTTGCAGAGTAAAATTTTTTTAAAATCAATTTTACTCATTTTTTTTAATATTGACCATTGTTAAAGTTTGAATTAAGGAATAAATACTTTTTTACACTTCGATGAAATTAAGGAGTTTTAATTTTTTTTTTGGCATCGCTCAAGTCTGTCAATCGAAACATAACTGATATAAAAACGGCTAAACAGTCACGTATACTCGTCCGGTGGCGACACCGACTAGTTTCGAGCCCATCGGATGCCCTTCATCAGGATGAGTGGTAGAGTGAATAATTTAATCGAAACATATTTAACAATATATTATAGAAAAAATTGAAAAGAAATTTAGGATAGTTGCTAATCTTATCTGCTAAGCTTATATTTTAAATGCGAATATTTGGATGGATGAATGTTTGTTAGAAGATATCTCCGGATCAGCTGCATGAATGTCGTTGAAATTTGGCATAGATGTAGAACAAAGCCTGGAACAACAAATAGGCTACTATTGTTGCCTAATGTGTCGCGAGCGACCTCTAGTGATGGATAAGCGAGATAACCTCCAAATATATTTTAGTTATTTTTTTTTGTTTGCTCAGTATCCTGTAATCTTACGGAAGCGACAACAGTAGAATGGTCCACAGAATATTGATTTCATTCAATAGTTGTTTTTTGTAACCAATTTTTTTTATCGCTCAATCCTCGCACGTGTTAGCACACGTGTTTAGGTTTCTTATTCACAAGTAAAGTATGAAAGCTTAACCATTTAACTTTTTCTGATCTTTAGGGTGGAGAATAAAAAATAACGAAAGAAACATATTTATGCACTTTTTTAATATAATGAAATTGATTGATAGATTGTAAATAATAACTATTCGTATCTATTTAGTTATAACAGTATAAAATATTAAATTTCTTTCAAGTTAATTTACTATCAAATTGACAATATAGAGATGTCTTAATTTTATTTGCTATAAGAAAATAAAAAATTGAGTAAATTTTTAGTATAGTTAGTAGTTCTATCTGCCGATTATTTTATTTACTTTTTCAAGTATTTATGTAGGTCATATTTAAATTGATAGATGGCGTAGTAAAGACATATTATAAATAACATACGTATTCTGTACATATAAAAAAATGTATTTTAATATTAATAATAAAAAATTAAATAAGATTTGACATTTAGTTATCGTCTCAAAACATTATTGGAAGTACAAAAATAATTCTAATGCAAATATCGGTAAAAAATATTAAATCAGCGCCATCTATTAATTGAAAACTAAAATAAGAGTTTCATAAGAGTAGTTGTCGTTATTATTAATAGATGACGTATTCATATAAAGTATTCAAACAAAATGTTTTACGAATTATTAATATTAAATAAGCAAAAATTATTTTTATTTTAATATTATTATTTTAATGTGGAAATAATTTTTTATTACTATTTAGTAGTTATATTGCTTTAATTGGATGTATATTTTTCCCGTCTGAAAAAACCCAGTTTTGCGGGTATTTTCTAACATTTCGTTGTGTCCTGTAGAAAAGTAAACGGCATCACTTATATTGAAGAGTGAGAGGCGAAGCGTCCGGAATACCAACAGTGAGAGCAAGTAAAGTCACATTTTTTAATTATTTGTTTCTATTAACTGGTGATAGTTGTTTTTGTTTTTTTTTTATTCTGACGGGCTTAAAATATTACGCGACGTTAAAGTAAGGTTGATTTTTGCAACAACCGTATTGTATGAAATGAAAAATGTCACCAGTATGTATTGTTTCCTTTATATACACGTGGTTAGGTACCGTTCCTATGTGCTATCCAAATACATCATTGTAATGTGACTTTGCAGTACTGAGTACGTATTGATTTCTTTTAATATCTGCGCATACATCGAGCCGATTTCGGCGGTTTGTAAAAAGTTTGCTAACAATTTTCCAATTTGCACTTGAAAGTCCGATACGGTATAGAGTGAGGCGCAAACAGAGACCGCGACGTAGAGCCCCTGAACATTGAGAAAGGGGGTATTGGGGTAGGAGCAGGAGGGAGGAGGGAGGGGAATGTTTGAGCAAAGCCGAGCGCAGGAAAAAGGCAGGTCGGGGCGCTCGGGGGCGTCCGGGGGCAAACACGGTGTCTCCGGGGAGCCGCTCATTAGTCGTGCAAACACGCCGGCGGCCACTTTGACAAGCAGCGGCAGCACTGAACACTCGCAAGTCACAAGTCGCAAGGCCGAGTCGAGGTCCGCCGCGCGATCTTCCCCTTCGCCAACCTTAGCGTTAGCTATCAGCCAACGGAACTGCACATACTGAGTAAATAAAGGCGGTCTGCTTTATTTACACGACTTGCGCAAGTTCGTCGGAACTTAGATTTAGTCCATGTAAAGTAGCTATCAAATAAGTTCTATGTGTTATTCGGAACGTAGTAGTCACGAAATTACGTAAGACTTTTGTTTTATAGAGATATTAGACATTATTAGAGATATTAATATAATAGTAGAGTTAGCCTTTCTCTTCTTATTACCAATAATATCTTCATCGTTATTTTGGCCTCTGTTGAGTTGTTTCGAAAACAATTCACAGTCCGTACCTTAAAACATTAAGACCTAGTAGAATTTTACTAACAATCTTTGATTAAAGTTAGCATAATGTAGTAACGCGGCTGCGCTCTCAACGGCAGCGACAGCGACGGCGGGCGACGGTCCTCATCAATCACTGGCTCAGGTGCGCCGTCGTCGGGGATGCCCCGCTACCCCCTTCCTAAACCCCTACGACATTGTATTTACTCTGATATACTCGCTATATATATACATATATCAAAATATGCATTTACCGTACTGAAACAAGTGCTTGAAAGCTAAATGGGATTGCACGTTAACGTCATGATCTGCTTCTCGTCGTTGGTACCTCTCCGAAAAACAGATAGATACGATCATTCGCAGGCAACAGTTATAAAGGACAACGATATTTAGTTTTTTTTTTACTAATAAAGCCATGAATGAGAAATACACTTTTTAACGTACCAACCGTGTGTGCTTTCTTTTTCGTTGTCTTTCTTCAATGTGTTCATTTAATGGGATTTATCCTTCATGTTCATCCGTCTTCCATTGATCATTGCCTTAAAATGGCACGGGAGCATCAGTAGCTTTAACGTAGCAATTATCTAAACGCGAAAAAATGTATGTATATTCGTTAATTAAAAACAGCGGAGTGGCGTGGGGCGCACGGCATGTGGCCTCGGAGGGCGCAAATTGAATTATCTAGCGCGCGGCCGGCACACGCCGTAACCGACGTATTATCTGATTACAAGACAGCTCAGCCGCTGCATCTTGCGAGATGCAATTCTAATCATCACTACCGTATTACATTCATTTATTGTTTTCGTAATGTAGTCAAGTACTTGTAAATTTCCTAACCGAACATTGTATCAATATCTTATAATATTTTAGTCCCAACTGTAGGAATATGACTTACCATTGGCTTCTGAAATCTCTTTATAAAACATGTCATAAACAGGATCTTCTTATTTGAAGTTAGCCGTTCAGTATACCAAAAAACTCAAATAAATTATTAGAAACCAAACAGAATATATTTTAATAATAATTGAAGTTCTCAACTTTATGTCAATTTAACTTTATTTAAATTATGTTGGTCTGTTTAAAATTTTAGTTAGAGAATTTTTTTTTAATATTTTTTACACATTTAATTTAAAACAGGTTTTGAATAACAACAAAACAACACCTAATTTCATGATATTTTGTGAATCCAGCTATAAAGTAGTGTCGTTTGATTGCAGGTCTCTTAAGTGAAGTCGTTTATCACGCGACTTGTTTTTCTTACAACTTTCACTGCAACGGAGGTTGCTTTCCTGGGGGTTTGTTTTCATCCTTATTTCCGGTTTGATATTTCTTGAAACATTTCATAAAGTATGTCTTTATAAATTAGTTTTGATCGTACTATTTGTCGTAGTTAAATGTAAAAAATTGCTTTTTTATTATTATTAAATACTTATAAGTACAAATTATAGTATTCAATTAACATATTTTATTTTAATAACTATTGCGTAGCCTCGGTGACGCAGTAGGCAGCGCGTAAGTCTCATAATCTTAAGGTCGTGAGTTCGATCCTCACCCGGGGCAATATTTTTGCGTCTCATTGTGATCGTCTGCCCCGACACGGGTGTACATGTTTTTTGCCTCTGCCTGTTGACGTTATGTTTTAGTTATATTTAAAATTGATCTAATAACGATTAAAAAAAGAAGAATGCGTTTGCAAGAATCAAATCATCCGACTGTACGTTATCGTTAACGCGAGTTTACACTGACGAAACTAGAACAAAACAATTTGTCATTTCCTTCATTCTCCTAGAGAAAACTGATATTACAAATTGTTTCGGAAAATGAACTCACGGCAACGTAAAATTGCGTTTCGTATATTGATTAATT